TAGGAGTTCCTGGAAGCATTCGAGAAATCATAGCACTAGTCCTTCTGCTTGATACAACCGAAGCGGACTGCAATTCTTGGCTGCGCAGCCATATGTCTAATGGTGAGTACTGGCCAGGGCTTGTATCATGAGAACTTTCGGTATGTGTATCATCAAAATCATGTAGATCGAGTTGTTGACAATGGATTGGGCACGACTCGTGCGGTTGTGCGTTTTCTGTCGGTTCTATGTTTGGCACAGACTCATGGACGTTTAAGGAGCCCCTCTTAATGCGGTCCTCGTGTCCGTCGTCTTCTTTGTCGGTACCCTCACTCTGAACACTAGGTTCTGCGTGTTGAGAATTTCTGTCTGGTTTTGAGTCGTCCGGTGGTCCAAGGTAGCTCGCAAGCTGCTCAGCGCTATAGGAAAGCCGCCATGAACAGAGAGACTCTGAACCTCGAGCACTCGGCAGATGGACCGGGGCTAACTGGGGGGAAGTGGGAAATTGGGGCAAAGAACCTCGTTCCTTTATGGTTCCGTAATGCTCGGAAATGGAATTCTCGTGCGACCGACAAGGCGACCCCGGACAGCTACTTCGACGAAGAGAAATTGCTGGTTGAGAGTTGCTAACTGGTAGGGCAAGGAGCACGTCTTCCGAGGGGACAAGATCAAGGCCTTTGAGCCCATCTTCGTTTGCATCCTTGACGGAAAATTCAAGATTATCTCGAGGACCACCACCAGGTAATTCAACGTTAGTAGAGGCGCCTGGCTTGGGTCCGTCGAGGTTGTTTGCCTTCACCTCGGCTTCTTCTTGTTCTTCTTCACTCTGTAACTCTTCTTGGATTCTTTTGTGCATAAGGCGCTTCAGCTCAGCACGCCTTGCAATTTCTTCATCGCTCGTACCAAGAGATTGTTGTGAATGCCTTCTCGAGTCCGACTTCTGGGATAACGGTCTAATAAACTTGGTCTTAATCACCTCCAGTGTACCCGTGCTGGAATTTCTGGTGCTACGTATGGGCTCATCGTCGTCTGAATCTTCAACTTCGAGGATAGTAGGATCAACAGTGGCTTCTGGTATTGAGTTATGTAATAGCGACGGCGCCTTTGATGTTACGACCTGCGGTGGAGAGAGCTCCAGCTCAGACGTCGACAACGGCGGGTTGGATAACTTTACGCGTGGCGGGTGAACAGGAAGTTCGATAATATCTCGCCTCTCTAGGTCAGGTTCTCTATAGATAGCTCGCCGGCTGCGACAACAGCAGAAAATGGACATCCTCGAAGACGTCCAATTGAAAACGAATGAGGTTGGGTTTGGGGTTGGGCTAAATCTGGTCGTGGATTTCCAAGAAAGGCTCGACAGCAATCTAGCTGGAGCTGAAGAGAAGGTCGATACATTGAAGCTCGCTTCGATACGCTAGACGTCAGACCATCCAACTTTGGGCTTGTGAACTTTGTCAAATATGTATTGAGCTTGATACATGAAATACCAGGCGCCTTCCGAAGAGAATTTACCTCGTCTGTAGAAGTTACCACCGAAATTCATGAAGATCTGGTTGCCCCTTCTCAACATGACGCTACACATGACGCTACACATGACGCTACCGGTGACATGACGCCATTATCGGCTTAGAGATGTAAACTTCTCTGCTCTAACTAGCAAATTCTCTCAGTGTATCAAATCTTGTTGGTGCTTCTTACCTTGCGGGATAGCAAGCACGGAGAAGGTAGCAATAGCGAATATTTCGAGTGAGATTTCATAGAGATGCATTTTGAAGTAGATACAAACTGTTAGCTCGATATTGGTGGGCAAATGATCTTGGAAGGAATTCAGTCAGGATAATATGTCTGAGTCGTGTTGTATCTGGGTGATGAGGAATCATACGGCCCTTCGTTGATCGATGGGGGCGCAGCTGGGGATTCTTATATGTCTACCAAAATTGTAATCTACCCAAGTACTCTCATCACTCGCATATACTTCTTTATGCTACATGTTATTATTTTCATCCTCTTGGTATTAGGTATGGAAAGGGACGAGTCTAAGAGCTGCATTAAAATCTGAATTTCAGGGGCAGACTTGGTGTAAGTATTTGGCGTTTAATAACCGCCCCCTTTCACTTTATGGCTACTAATGGATATATCAACTTATGTTCATGATTCTATCGAGTATGGAATCAGCGGCGAACACGCAAGAAACCATGAAGAGTACAGCAAATACTCAGGGCCTCCCTGTCCCGAATTGAAAACAGCATGGGCAGAATTAGTAACGCATAAGATGGGGTTGGAGGCGACCGGAAAGGAGCAGTGGAGGATTTCAAGGTTATATGCTATAGAAGCCAATATCTAGACGCGGAAAATACATTATCGGCTATGATACATACTCGAAGCGGTATTCTTTAAATACCTTAAGCCCTGTGACCTTTTAATTTTATAGGAGGTGCGGACGACCCTAACCGCCCAACTGCCCCTTAACAAAGACGGGATCCAACGTGCATACGATGAAGTTCGCGCCAGCCTCGATTACTACCTACCTCACAGGCCTACGTTACGAAGGGGAAATGATAACCAACAACCACAGCATATTGAAGGAATGTATCAAGTCTACAACTTCATTGGCCCAATTGATGCTGATACTAGGTACCTACATACAAGGATGCCTCGCCAACATTGAATGCTTCAGCCTGTACCCAACGACCGGCGCCTCTTGCATGCATGGACGAGGTGTATACACCATGGCTAAAGTTAAGGCGTGGGTACAACATTATATCTCAGATCAATGTAACGGTATATGCGTCAATCATTAGGCGCGTGGCTTCATGAGTGTTGGTCTGCCATGCGCTGGATCGAAGCAAGGGACGCGCGAGTTGCCTAAACAATGAGTTGATTTGAGGTGATGAGGCCAAGATCTCCTCTCTCACGCTCGTTCCCTACTTCCGACGAGGACCTTCCTATGTTCGCCCACTGACAATGGCACCTCTCACGATTAGGATTGCAATAATTGGCGGAGGCCTTGCCGGCGCCACCCTAGCGAACGCACTCCTTCGAGTCCCTCACGTACACGTCGAAATCTATGAATCCGCCCCAGAGTTTTCAGAGCGCGGCGCTGCTGTCGTTCTCACGAGCACGGCTCAGAAGAGCCTGCAGCGAGCGATACCATCCGCGACGGAGGTTTTGAACAAAGCCGGTGCCGTCCCCATGAACTCGACTCGGCTTGTCATCGTAAGAGAGATTTTTCCATTGACATTTTACCATATGCTGACCCCCTAAAGGGTTCGGGACCAGAGGCAGGCACTGTGATTGTTGATATGAGGCAGACAGGTAATCCGGGGCTCGTCATACATCGAGCTTCGCTGTTGCGTGAGCTCCTGGTTTCAATTCCACAGGAACTCCTCCATACCAATAAGAAACTCACGGCTATCCGTCCTGTTACCTATGGCGTGCGGATTTCCTTTGAAGATGGTTCGACGTCCACATTTGACGCTGTTATTGGAGCAGACGGCGTCTTTAGCAACGTCCGCAAGTACGTTTTGGGAGACAGGGCTGCCGATGAAAGCCCTTCTCCAGCTGGATTCTGGTACAGCAGAATCTTGATGCCCTACGAAAAGGCAAAGCCCCGGCTAGGCGCTGAGTATTTCGAAACGGATCGACAATACGGGTGGATCGGCGACGGGGCGTTCATCATGCATGATGCCCTAGAGGATCGGAACATGGTGCAATGTGTGATATCAGCTATTGAGACTGATCCACCAAAAGACAGAAAGCGTCTGCTCACTAGAGAAAGCCTCTCTCAAACGCTGAGCAGTTGGCTTGGTGGTCCGATTGCCGAAGGCGTGATAGATGTAAGGTTTCCCAAAGACTACCTCTAAGTACTCCTGCCATAACGGTGCTGACGGTGGGCGAGCTCACGCTGGATAACCCGGAGCCGTTTGGCTGGTCTCAATGGGACCACAAATCTACCTCTACCTACGCGAACGGCCGTGTCTGTATTGTTGGCGACGCAGCTCATGCTATGACGCCGTGGCAAGGGTTTGGTGCCGGAATGGCCATTGAAGACGCTATGATTTTGAGGAACCTTTTCGCTAATATCTCCTCGACTAAGGAGATAGAAGGGGTGTTCAAGGCGTTCGACACCGTCCGACGTCCTCGGTGCGAACGGATTGTCAACTCTAGCCGAGAGACAGGGTTTATCTTCTGTGGAAAAGATGAGGAGATACAACTGGACGTGAATAAGATCAGGGAAGCATTGGCGCCCAGATGGAAATGTATCGATGCTATTGATTATGAATCTCATGAGGACGAAGCCGTCAATATCCTCCGAGAAATGCTGTGTGGCCAATGAAGGGTCGAGGTATTTGATTAAGTTCCCAGCCGGTTATGAATTCTTGAATAAATACCTCCTATATCTAGGTAGGTAGATCATCCTGCAATGAACGAAATTTGAAGTTACGATTTCATAGAGGCTGTCGTTATATCCTTTGGATGTGGCTCAGTATACATATTGGCATATGACGAAAGGAAGGTGGTATGTATTGTTTTGGTGTTCTTTAGCTACACGTATGTGATTATGAGACTCAGCAGAATGTACGAAATACTGTTCTTGATCTATCTACTACAAGCAAATTACCTCAGGTATTATAACGGACTATATACGCTTTTTCTAGTCGCCCCAGCACCATGTTATTATGATACTGTAACAAAACAGACTACATTTTCATAGTCTGATGATTATACCCGGAAGAGAGCATTAACTACTTAGATTCATATATAATATCTGTATACTGCCCCCTCCATAGTGAATGCAAATTTGAGTCTTCATGAAAATTCTGTGAGTTGGTCCGCCCGGCTTAACCCCAGCGGCTGCAAACTTTGCAGTTTAATTTTTCGAAGCGGGTTCTACTATGACACCTAGTGTGAAGGTGCGGGTCCTATAAGCCGAAGTTCAATCACAACTGAACCCTAGCCCTCACTGCGGATCTAATAAATGATGATAACTGTTTCACCATCACGTAGCAAGCCGTCTACAAGCCCGCGTGGCTCAATCGGTAGAGCGTCAGACTCTTATAAAGATATCTGAATGTTGCGAGTTCGAGCCTCGCCGTGGGCTCAATTCCCATGGCTCCCAGTTTAACTGGGATCATCTTTTTGTCTTTTAGCTGTATTTTATTTTATATTCCCCTCAATAGTCCCTAAGTTTGTTTCGATCATGCAATTGAACAGTTTTGTGTCCATGGAGTCTCGGTTTTTGTCCCATGTCTACTCGATGAGCCCTTCCCTCTTGACACTCCCGCCCAACCAGACAACCAACTAACAGGCTACTTGTGGAAAGGACATGTAAGTGATGTGGGATACACAGATTGTGTGAGATGTTCAACCTTGCATGCCTAACTATCTTGTTCTACCAGCTTCTCATGGCAAGCCGTCGAGGCACCATGGATTCTCCTCGTCACAGCCCTCTTCTCTCTGAAGAGTGTCGAGGTAGTTAGGCTGTATTTACCAGGATTATAGTATACAAGGGAAAGGCCGTCTACGCCTTAAAACAATTGTAGACATTCCCATATTGGTAGAAAGACACGCTCATGTATGTGCCTGACTATCGATACCACCCATCGTATCGAAAGTAGGGGATTCTCTACTTCTGCCTTGTGGCATCATCGAGAAAGGTATTGCTAACCGCATATATCTCGAGATATGTAGCAACAAGCAAAGTTGAATGTCTGTATCGCTACTTGGGATCGTATTGGCGACTATGCTGAAAAATTTTCAGCTTTGCTGGAGCTTCTTCCGTCACTCCGTTCCCCTCTTCACCATTGCCACCTATTGGGAATAACATGAAAATAATTCCAGACAGCATTGAACTTGATAATCAAAGGTATCTAGGCGCCTTAGAGGTGGAAGTATAGTTTAGAGTAAGATACACTAAGATTCGGTGGACATCGTACGGCAAACGGCGAAACAGAGTCGTCGATGTAGTTCTCTCGAAGCGCCACGGCCCACTTATTTGGGTCAGCCATCTAGGCCCGTTATGGTTCCATGCGGCTGTCGGCTACGAAGCGACTTAACAATTAGCCCGGGAGTAGTGGACGAACTAATACGACTCTAACAGGAGGGAATGTAACGGGGAAGGATAAGGCGGGCATCCAAGACTATGGCTCGGTCGCAGCGGAATTGATTATGGTTGCATGCAGACAAGGGTTGTAGATTGACACTATCGTCCATTGCCAACAATTGACATGTGGGAATCTCTGCATATCTTACCTAATTTTCGGAGCGAATGCGTCGTCCGGAGAAACAAACATGGACGTCTATATGATTTCGGCGAATCGCTTTCGCGGGCTGCCTGACCGATTTTGCTATCGGAAGCCCGAATACGCAATTGGATGGCTGGAGGACCAATAGATAGCTCGCACCCGCACGTGTTGCAGAACTCCGTACTGTAAGACAGACATAAGCAGCGTGTATCTCGGTGGTACCTAAGCATCTGATAGAGGACGCGCGGGGACGGACTAGTACATGAGGTATTAACAAGCTTATCTCTCCGCTACTCCTGGGGCACAGTGGCAGAGTGGGCAGGAGTGGATGGAGTGGATGGAAGGCAGGGGCTCCAGCCTTCAACCAAAAGTTAGAGCAGCTAGAAGAAGAGCAGGAGCATCAGCCCCCCGCTTTCGGACCCTGGATGCATCCTGTTGGTCCTTCGCTGGTTAGCTCATAGCACGACAACTGAAAAAATTGTTAACCCCTCATAGACCGTTACTCAGTGCTCTGAGCTTCCATAAGAACCCCTCCCTCACCGCTTGCCTCTGCTTATACTTTCTACCGTTCCTCCCTCCTTCTTCTTCATCCTTTCCCTCCTCAAATAATCTCCTACTGTTCTTCGTCTGTTGTTGCCATATATCAATTGGCCTAGCTCTTTCTATTTCTTCGATAGAAAGAGAGAGTTGGAAGCAACAGTCTGAATTTCTCGTAAGTACTTACCTCACAATGACCCCACCATCCCACTCTCCACATCAGGCATTGAGCTCCAAACAAAATAAAAAAAATTTGTACTAAACATTCACTCGTCACAGAAAGCCTCTCTTCTCCCAGACACACCGAATCACCGTCAAGATGGTTCAATCTGCTGTTCTGGGTTTCCCCCGTATGGGTGTGAACCGTGACCTGAAGAAGGCAACTGAAGCTTGTAAGTTTTGTCCCGGCTCTTCCGGAAGGAACCGAGCATCCCGTATTCTGGTAATTGGATCCAAATGGCTGACTCTACCTCCAAGACTGGGCTGGTAACATCTCCCAAGCCGACCTCCTCACTGAGGCCAAGCGTCTCCGTCTCGCCCACTGGAAGATTCAGAAGGATGCCGGTGTGGACATCATCCCCAGCAACGACTTTGCTCTCTACGACCAGGTCCTTTCCCACATCCAGGACTTCGGTGTAAGTTACCAATTCTTCAAATTACAGTAAAGCATCATCCGATAAGCTAACTCTTGCATTCTATAGGCCGTTCCTGAGCGATATTCCAGTGCCAACCTCGACCGCGTCGATGAATACTTTGCCATGGGCCGTGGCCACCAAAAGGGTGGTGTGGACGTTCCTAGCTTGGAAATGGTGAAGTGGTTTGACTCCAACTACCACTACGTCAAGCCCACCCTACAGGACAACCAAGCCTTCACACTCACTGCCAACCCTAAGGCCGTCGTTGAGTTCCTTGAGGCTAAGGAGGCTGGCATCCAGACCCGACCTGTCCTACTCGGTCCTGTCTCTTTCCTCCACCTGGGTAAGGCGGACCGTGGCCAGAGCGTCGTCCCCATTGACCTTCTTGACAAGCTTCTACCTGTCTACGTTGAGCTCCTCACCAAGCTGAAGGAGGCTGGTGCTGAGACTGTCCAAATTGACGAGCCTGTTCTCGTCTTCGACCTCCCCGCCAAGACCAAGGCTGCCTTCAAGCCTGCCTACGAGAAGTTCGCTAGCTTGGCTGGCAAGATCCCCAACCTGGTCTTCACTACCTACTTCGGTGACATTGTTCACAACCTTGACCTCCTCCCCAAGGACATCTACGCCGTCCACATTGACCTTGTCCGCAACCCCGAGCAGCTAGAGACTGTCTTGGGTGCCATTGGTCCCAAGACCATCCTGTCTGTCGGTGTTGTCGACGGCCGAAACATCTGGAAGACCAACTTCAAGCGTGCAATTGAGATTGCCGAGACCGCTATTCAGAAGCTTGGCAAGGACCGTGTCATTGTTGCCACTTCCAGCTCTCTTCTCCACACACCCCACACTCTCGCTAGCGAAAAGAAGCTTGACCCCGAGATTGCTGACTGGTTCTCGTTCGCCTCTGAGAAGGCTGTTGAGATTGCCATCATTGCCAAGGCCGTCACTGAGGGCCCTGCCTCTGTCCGTGAGGCTCTCGAGGCCAACGCCAAGTCTTTGAACGCTCGCGCTACTTCCAAGCGAACAAACAACCCCCAGGTCAAGGAGAGACAATCCAAGATTGCCCCCTCTGACTACAACCGCAAGTCTGAGTTCCCCTCCAGAATTTCTCAACAACAGAAGAAACTTAACCTTCCTCTGTTCCCTACCACCACCATCGGCTCTTTCCCCCAGACCAAGGAGATCAGAGTCCAACGAAACAAGTTCACCAAGGGAGAAATCACTGAGGCTCAGTATGACAAGTTCATCGAGCAGGAGATTGACATGAACGTCAAGATCCAGGATGAGCTCGACTTGGACGTTTACGTCCACGGTGAGCCCGAGCGAAACGACATGGTTCAGTACTTCGGTGAGCGTCTGGATGGTTATGCATTCACCACGCATGCCTGGGTTCAGAGCTACGGCTCTCGCTGTGTCCGACCTCCTATCATTGTCGGTGATATCTCTCGCCCGGCTCCTATGACTGTCAAGGAGTCCAAGTACGCCGTGTCGGTCTCCAAGAAGCCCATGAAGGGTATGTTGACTGGCCCGGTTACCTGCTTGAGATGGTCTTTCCCTCGTGATGACGTCCACCAGTCCGTCCAGGCTGAGCAGCTCGCCTTGGCCCTCCGCGACGAGGTCGTTGACCTTGAGAAGGCTGGCATTGATGTCATCCAGGTTGACGAGCCTGCCCTCCGTGAGGGTCTACCCCTCCGCTCCGGCAAGGAGCGTGAGGCTTACCTTGACTGGGCTGTCAAGGCTTTCAGGCTCGCCACCGTCGGCGTCGAAGATTCGACTCAGATCCACTCTCACTTCTGCTACTCTGAGTTCCAGGACTTCTTCCACGCCATTGCCGCTCTCGATGCTGACGTTCTGTCCATTGAGAACAGCAAGTCTGACTCTAAGCTCTTGGGCGTGTTTGTTGAGGAGGCTTACCCTCGTCACATTGGTCCCGGTGTCTACGACATCCACTCCCCGCGTGTGCCCAGCGAGCAGGAGATCAAGGACCGCATCGAGGAGATGCTCCAGTACCTCAAGCCTGAGCAGCTCTGGATCAACCCTGACTGCGGTCTCAAGACCCGCCAGTGGAAGGAGACCAAGGCAGCGTTGGTCAACTTGGTCAACGCGGCCAAGTACTTCCGTGCGAAGTACGCCAAATAAATGGCTCTCGATTCCTGAGGCCAGTGTTTCATTTTTTACGAAAACTGATGATAATTGCATGAGGTGGTGGGGAGTTACCTGCTAAAATTTCCATGGGAGCTGCATAATTCGATTTCAACATCGGCGTTTAACAGGCAGGGTTCTCAAAGGGGATCTATACCAAAAAAGTTCTTCAGGAAAGACTGGCGGGAATCGGTAGCATTCAACATAAAGCATTTAACGGGCGGGAAAGAATTATACCAGAACAGTCCATCAACCGGACTTGGGGAGTAGTTGGCGTTATGGCATTTGATGCCCTCCTTCACAGAAGGGATCGTGTTTGCGATCGATGTAGATGTATGAGCAATCGGTCCAATTCAACCGGGCGATGATTTGCGGAAGAAATTGAATCTTCCAAAGCACTACCTACCTCTTTCGTGTACCGTGATTGACGTGAAAGTAATATGCAAATACGAACTGCCCACCCATAAATGACAACTTCGTAAAAAAAACACCAACATTTTCACGATTAAGTATTAGAATATTCGACTGTTAGGGCTTTACAAGGA